TATACCGGTAAAAAGAAGGAAAATAGTTTTTTTAGGGGTAGAAGGAAAGCCAAATGTGGATGTAGATGTAGTATGCTTTTCGTTTAGTTTCGGTAGATGTTTAATTTCGGTTTGTATTGAACTCCCCTATGCTATGTAGTAGATGAATTGGCTTATGCTATGTTTGATGAACTCTGGTGATCTATGTTTCCGTACAAACTAGAAGTTTGAATATGCGGTATTAGTTGTAGGATCTGTTTTGGATGCGCGTCCGGTGTCCTACAAAAATCATATTCGGGATGCCGTAAACGATTTTTGTGAGACGGCGGGTTGCGGAATCAGCTAGTTATACCGGTAAAAAGAAGGAAAAGAGTTATTTGTAGGGGTAGAAGGAAAAGAGGTGTCCTCTTGTGCACGAACTTCCTGGATTGAGGCGGCCCATGGGCTTCTCTTTCCGCTCACACTCTTCTTTGCCCCAGCCACCAAGATTCAGTCAGTAATAGGTACACATCTCCTCTTGTTCCAGCATCTCCCGAACCCGAACCACGCCGTCCGGTCCACCCCGAGAGGAGAGCGCAGCGACATGCCGGCGACGCCGACCATCATCGGTGCCCTGCTGGGGCTGGGCACCCAGATGTACTCCAACGCCCTCCGGAAGCTCCCCTACATGCGCCGTATAGCCCCTTTCCCATCCATCCCTCCCTATCCGCCTTCCCCTTTCCTTTGTTGATTTCTTGATCTGTCCTCACGATGCATCCTGCCATCCATCGGCAGTCCCGGTTCCTTATTTCGTCTGATCTGTAACCCTTTATATGCCTGCAAGTATGTGTTGGTCTGGGCGCCTTCGTTGGCCGTAATAGCGGTAGATTTAGGGTGTGGTTCTTGATTTATGTTTAGTACGTTCTTAGATTGGGATTCGGTCACTACCTTGGCCTTGACAAGACCGAATGGTAGGATTTTCTGTAGAAAGTTCCCGTAATTTTCGGTTGCAGTACTACAGTATGTTACCACAATTTTACTGTTTGACTTGATTTATGAACACATACTGTCGAAATAGTAGTTCCTTTTGTTCTGATCCCCTCATTTCCTTGATTTTATTATCTGGCTTTGTAACGTTCTAGTTGTAGGTTTGATTCCTTCTCATGTGATTTTCCCTTTTTGTTTCAGATCCCTGGGAGCATGTGCTGGGAATGGGTCTGGGTGTTGTGTTTGTAAACCAACTGGTGAAGTTTGATGAGAAGGTAAAGGTGGACCTTGACAAGATGCTTGAGCGTGCGAAACACGCCAATGAGCAGCGCTACTTTGGTTTGTGCTTATTTCCTCCCAACATTTTGGAATCCTGATTGTATGCTACTCCCTCCTTCCATGTTTAATTGTTTATAAGTCCCGAGGCGCGCGCACAATTTTATGGTAAACTTTGACCGATGTTTGCGCAAATGATATTTGGTTTATCTGCACAAAAGTTATGCCATTACGAAACATTCTTCAATACAGGTCCATGGCATCACTTTTCTGTCACGGAAACCTTATACTAGTAGTATTGTTGTTGGTCAAGGGGCTCTTAGGATGATGATTAGTGCTGTTTGAAGAATTGTTACATACTTACATTATCACAGTAATAGCCTTTATATGCCTTCATGAAATCTATTGTGGTGAACTAGTGATCTTTTTACCAATCAGCTTGGTAAACTGTGCACTATTGATTCAACCAGTGTTGCTCACAGTAATGGTACTAGATTTGCAGAATGACTGAGCAGCATACACATATCACTACTTAAAACATGGAGGTCTTTTCTTGATTTTGTGTTGATTTTTCGAATGAAAGTTGGTAGCTTATGAGGTAGATTCGCAAAATTCACTCTTGCCCTTGTTTAAACTGTGAATGGTATATGAATTCGAAGGGTTTCAAAACTCTGGGATTTTTTCATATGACATCCGGGATGTAGGTTGAACTAGCTTTCTGAGAAACATCCAGATCACTTTCCCTGAAACTATAGGCCTCCTCTGTCGAAATCCAATTTCACCTAACCCGCTTCACTGTTTTCACCTGAATTTAGTAGATAGCCGCGAACCACAGAGGGCGAGGGTTTTTGGAAACTTATCCAGATGGAGCCCAGTGCATAACTTTAAGTCCTAAATTCATTTCTTCTGATGGGGATATACCTATGTTCGTCCTTGTATAGGACATGCTGTGCATAGTCGTTATTTCATATAAGAAGCTTCTAGCAAATAAATAGGATAAATCAATGCACTGTTGGGTTAGAGATCTATGTACTTTACAAAAATATTAGAGACCCTGACAGTAATGCATTAAACAGATCTATATCCTTTGTTGCTCCCTAGTAGCATATTAAGTGGTCAGCCCCCCTGCCCCCCCTGGCCCCCCAAACACGCACAAACATAACCCTTACTACTACCCCCCTGGCTATTAGTACCTTGCAGAGGTGTGGGTTTTGCTCTCTGCTACCTTCCATCTCGATTTTCATTCTAATCTAGTGTGTTAGCATGCATATATGCAAGTTTCAACTTGTCTCCTGATTGTGTATTTGTGAAGATTTTGCTTCATTGATATGTTAGCCATTTTATTTCCAGTTTTCTTTTTTTTTCTTATGTTTAATCAAGCCGTAAAACTTGATTATATCTGCCATCACCTGTGATAGTCCTTAATTTCTACTCTCAAGCTTAATATTTCTGCTCCTTGCATGCATTTTAATTCTTACTGGACTATTGTTTTTTGCAGTCTTTATTAAGTTATTGACTACTATAAAACTTCAATTAAAGAACTAATAGTCATCACATTTTTTAGAGCATAATTTACTATGAATCACCGTATGCCGTGTGCGGCTGTTGCTCTGTAATGAGATACCTATCATATGTACCCACAAAGTGAATACCGTAACAAGAATCAATATTGCCATTACCTTTTTTGGTGGTAAAACAACCAGATAGGTGGTAGTTTCCCTCCTATCATTTCAGATATGGAGGGAAAAAATCATGGATCGAGAAATGGAGATTATGCGGAAACAAGGCAATATGCTGGAAATGTTAGGGTGAAATAATGAAACAGAAATCTGTGAACATATCAGATCAAAACTTGATTGATTTTGTGACTGCCTTTTTATCAAGTTATACACTGTTTACTGACTTGGTGCTAAAGCAAAGAGGGAGAAAGAGAGAGAGAGATGGCTGCACCGCCTGCACGTGATATGACCAATCTCCAGTTGTAGCTTTACTGAACTACACATGACATATATGTAGTGCATCTCCATTTGCTTGTCTCGTCTCTTGCCTTTCTTTATCTTCTAGTGCTGGTAAGGTGGGAATTAAACACAAAATTATATGTTATAACCATGACATCTGACTTTTGGTGGAGGCCTGGAAGATCAGTATGAAGAGACTTGGTTTTTTTTCTTCTTGAAACTGCCTGACTGTATGAACTCTTCCTGTAGAAATGACCAGAGCAGTTCAATATGTTTGATACCAACAGTTGTAATGCTGCATAGTGAATAAATGTTTGTACCATGGTTGATAGTGCGCGCAAGTAATCTAACATGTGCTATGTAACTTGAGAATTTTGTGCACATCAAAAGCTACTTATATGATACTCTATTTGATATTGTTGTGCTCATAGACTTTTGTTCAAATTTTCTACAGACGAAGACGACGATTAGCTGTTCAAATTTGTTTGGCGGCAACCGGGGTTTTTTCAGTTTGCTTTGGTCAGAAAAACTGGCTCCGCATTTCATCTGCGGTAGTGTAATAAACTGATGTTTCACAGTACTTGGGTTGTACTTGTACGGGAGACCTTTTTATGGTACTTGAATCTGATTGATCACCTTGTCTGAAGCATCGTTATTCAAGTTCAAATGATGACTTATGGTACCTGTTGATTGTGCAAAGCAAATGATCAACTTATCTACCTCATCCTTTCTTCTTGTTTTATCATCCTTCTGATTGTCAGCAGGAATGATGACTGACAAATTTTGTTTTCGAACTATTTTTGTTTCTTAGAAATTTGCATCGCTGGTACAAACAATCTCCAACAACAACAACAACAAAGCCTTTAGTTACAAACAAGTTGGGGTAGGCTAGAGGTGAAATTCATAAGATCTTGCAATCAACTCATGGCTCTGGTACATGGATAGCAAGTTTTCATGCACCCCTGTACATAGCTAACTCTTTGGTGATACTCCAACCCTTCAAGTCTCTCTTAGCAGACTCCTTCCATGTACCTGCTCTCTCTACATTTTTCACACGCTTTAGTCATCCGCCCGCTATGCACTGGAGCTTCATGGAAGCCAGTCATACAGGCTGCCGTTCTTCATATTATTCCTAATAAACCCCAACTTTTGGTGCCTCTTTTCATGCCAGAAAACCAACCCAAATTAGATGAAACAAGAAACATGTAAAAGAAGAAGTTCCTAGCGCTTCTGCTCGCCGGCTCGGTAGTAGTCGAGCGTAACGTGGAGCAGCAGATCAGAGATCTGGCGCGCCGTCGGCCTCTCCCCTGGCGCCGGCCTGGTGCACCGGAGCGCCATCTCGAGGACCTCCGCCATCGACGACTCCTCGCGCGGCGCCAGCGGCTTGAGCGCCGGGTCGAACAACTGGTCCCTGGCCGGCGACGGCGCGTCAACCCGGGACTGCACCCATCGCACCAAGTCCACGTCGCCGCCGAAGGTCTTGTCCGTGGGCAGGAGGCCGGTGACGAGCTCCATGAGCACGATGCCCGTGCTGTAGACGTCGCTCTTCTCCGTCGCCTTGAGGCTGTAAGCACACTCTGCACGAACATGCAGGCAGATGGTCAGCAGTTGATATATGACTGGGGTCTATGTGCAGACCTATTTGAGTGTCAGTGTTCACAAATATAAGGTGCGTGCAAGTCAACCATTTGAGTGTCAGGTACCTGGTGCCATGTAGCCGTATGATCCGGCGAAGAGAGAGGCCGACTCGGTGCACTCCTTGCCGCCGTTGCGGTTCTCGGCGATGGCCTTGGCCAGGCCGAAGTCGCCGAGGTGCGCCTCCATGTCGCCGTCCAGGAGAACGTTGCTGGACTTGATGTCCCTGTGCACCACCCGCGGCACGCAGTCGTGGTGGAGGTACTCCACGCCCTGCACCAGGCCCGCCGCGACCTTGAGCCGCGCGTCCCAGCTCAGCACCCGCTTCTTGCCCTCGCCGGCGCCGCCGTGAAGCCATTCGTACAGGCTGCCGTTCTCCATGTACTCGTAGATGAGCATGCTGCCGCCGTGGTCGCTTTGGCTGACGAACCCGAGGAGCTTCACCAGGTGGCGGTGCCGCACCCGGCCCAGGATCTTCACCTCCCTCGCGAAGCTCTTGTCCTGCAGCAGCATGTCGCTGTCCATGTGCACGAACCTCTTCACGGCCACCGTCTCGCCGGTGGGCAGTTCTGCCCTGTACACCGTCCCCGAGCCCCCGGAGCCGACGGCGAATTGGTCGCTCAAGTTCGCCGTCGCCTCCATGATCGCATCCCACCGGAACTCCCGCCGCGCCGAGCCCTTGATAATCAGCTGCCGGTTCGTGTTGCCCTGGGTCGACGAGAACACCGTGCAGTTCACCTCCCCGGAGTGCCGCCCGCGCCGCCGCACTGCCATCAGCACAAGCACGATCACTAGGAGCACAATCGTCAGTGTCACCGCCGCGGACACCAGCGCGATCGACGCGGAGTGCATCGTGGACCGGCCGCTGCCGCAGCCTCTCAGATGGCTGCCGCAGAGCGCAGCATTGCCGGAGAAGGCGTCCTGCGGCCACCGGGAGAACTCGTCCCCCAGCCTACCATCCAGCCGATTGCTAGACAAGTCCAGCTCCACCAAACTGCTCATCCTGGCGAGCTGCGACGGCACTGTTCCCACCAGAGCATTGTGAGAGAGGTTCAAATCTTCCAGCTTGGAGAGAGACCCAATCGATGCAGGGATTATGCCCACCAGATTGTTGCTGCTCAAATCCAGCAAGCTCTGCAACTCTTGCATCTTGCCGATGTCAGGTGGAATCCCGCCCGACAGGTGATTCTGCGACAAGTTCAGCTCATACAGGTTGCTCAGTCTTGCCAGGGTCGCCGGTACCGGACCTGAGAGCTGGTTCTGCGCCAGATTCAGCACGTTGAGAGAAGCCAACCTGCCGATTTCAGGCGGCACCGTTCCATTGATCTGGTTGCCGTCGAGCGACAGCTTGAGGAGCTTGGAGCACTTGGTGAGCTGGACCGGCAATGCGCCGGTGAATTCGTTGGCGGAGAGCGTCAGCTCCCCCAGCTGCGGCAGCGTGCCCAGCCAGGCCGGCACGGGGCCTGACAGCCGGTTGTGATTGAGGACGATGTGGCTGAGCTGCGTGCACCGCGAGAGCGCGTCCGGGATGACGCCGGTGAGCGCATTGTTCGACACATCCAGCAGCGTCAGCGCGGCGATGCCGCCCAGCGACGGCGGGATCGGCCCGGACAGGGCGTTGCTCCCGAGGCGGACGCGCTGGAGCGACGATGACCGCCCGAGCTGCGCCGGGATCCCGCCCTCGAACGAGTTGTTTGTGGCGTCGAACGATAGCAGGCTCGCCGACCCGCAGAGCGGCAGGA